CTGTCTAGGTGCCGGCAATATCACTCCAGGGTCTGGTATCATTTGGGCTCTGGAATGGGGTTGTGTTTGATCCTTAGTCCGAGAGACAACAACAACAACAACTGCTACTACTACTACTACTACTACTACTACTACTACTACTACTACTACTACTACTACTAGTACTGCTGCTGCTACTACTACTGCTGCTGCTACTACTACTAATACTACTGCTGCTGCTGCTGCTACTACCACTACTACTACTACTACTGCTCCTACTACTATTACTACTACTCGTAAGGTGGTAGTACTAGTACTAGTACTAGTTACTAGTTTTGGTACTAGTACTAGTAATACTAGTAGTAATATTCAAAGGACATCCCCACTAATGATAATACTAATACCAGTGTTCATACTCATACTATGAAGATACTAGTACTAATCCGAGTACTCATACTGATACTGGTACTGATACCAATGTAAATATCATGACTATGACTATCACTGGCTAAATTTTGCTTTCTACTTAGTACTTATTTCTGACGTATGGCTCACTCCTCTTACTTTTACCATTGCTATTACTTTTTGCAGGCCCTGTGAGGGCCATGCCCTTGCGGCTGCTCGTGGTGTCGGCTCTCGCCGGTTTGGCCGCTGGGTGCACTTCTATTGTTTAGTGACTTTAGTGTTCGGCGTTTAGTTTGTGGCCTAAGGTTTCGGGTTTAAGGTTTAGGCGTTTATGAGTTTAAGGTTTAGGGTTTCGGAGTTTCGAGTTTCGGGTTCCTTGTAGGGTTCCTTTGCAGGGTTGGATTCGGGTGTTTATGCAAGTTCCTTAACTTAGGGCTAATCTGGGGGCTTGAGTATCTAGAATAGGGCTTTGGGTATGTTCAATTGAGACTGTAAGAAGGGCTATAATGCTTTTTCTAACCCTTGGTTTTCAAGCTGCAGACAATTCTTCTGGCCAAGCCAGCTGGGGTTCCTGGTGCAGCGCTTCTTGTGGGTTGTCGGACATACAGCCCCGCAGCTCTACGAAGCTGCTTCTTACAAACTCCTGGGCATTTCTATGTCGTTTGCGCATGAAAGCAACCGAAGCTAGGCAGAGTCTGCTGGCAGATCACCAAGCTTAGCGCCCAGGGATCATCCAAGTCCTGGTCCCCTGAAGTCGTGTTTGTAGTTCATTCAAGGTGGGTTCGTCGCTGTTCTCTCATGCGCTGCCTGCGCTGCAGCAGGGCGATTGCAGGAGTGCGGTAGCCTTGCTTTCAGACGAGCAGTGCTAGTTGGGTAAAGGAGGTCAGCTTAGGATGTGGTTTCGGGATCTTCAGAATGCCCGCAAGTCCGGCGGCCAGGCGTATGCCATCTGCCGATGTCTTCAAGCATCAACTTGGCTACAATTTTTTCATCTTACTGCGAGTTTGGCGGATGACTTGGTTACCGTCGGTTCTACGTGGCTACTGTGACTGCTTTTACCAGTTAAGTTCCTCTCCCTGTTCCTCCTTCGATTGTTGGTCTTCTGTGTTCTTGCCGTTGTCGAAGCTCGCATTGTTGAGGACAGCTGCCGACGGCGTGTGTGATGGAGCATCACTGCTCCAGGCCATGCATCCAGCGAGCTCGAAGGGAAACGCTCGAAAGATCCCCCAGCGAAGTTTACGGCCCCCCTAAGCCTCAAACCCTGAGGCCCTTATACCATCGTCTGGAAGTCTGGGGCCTTCTGGCTTGCCTGCCTCGGAGATTTTCCCGGCCACACGTGTAGTCTTAACCTAGCCTCAGTGCCGAAAGCACCGAAGAGCAAAGCCCTTTACATGTGCGGGATTTTGTCCAGCTGGAGGGTGCTGCGAGGCGCTTCCGTTGAAACGCAAAGTCAGCCTTAGTAGTATACGAAGTTACCTCCAGCACAGAATGGCAGCCACCTTCAGAAATTGAGATTCGACCTCCACTTCACCTTCGTTTTGTTTCGTTCAGGTCAATCGGGCGGCGAGCCCGGAGCACGGCAGTGACCGGAGTCTGCATCCTGGAAGCAGATGCAGTGTTCTTACTATCATAAGGCCAATGCTTCTTTTTGGACTGTTTCTGCTGCGGCGATGGCAACGAGTGTGACTACTGCGACTGAATCTGCTGCTGCTACGACTACTACTACCACCACTACCAGTACCACTGCCAGTACCGGTACCAGTACCAGTACCGGTGCCGGTCCCCCCCCACCGGCACCGGTAACGGTACTGGTACTGTTACTAGTACTCGTACTACTACTTGTACGAGTACGAGTACGAGTACTGCTACTACTACTACTACTACTGCTACTACGACTACTACTGCTACTACGACGACGACTACTACTACTACCACCACTACTACTACTACTACTACACCTATTACTATTACTGCTACTGCTTCCACTGCTACTACTACTACTACTACTACTACTACTACTACTACTACTACTACTGCACCTACTACTACCACTACTACTACTACTACTACTACTACTACTACTACTACTACTACTACTATTACTACTACTAATACTGCTACTACTACTACTACTACTACTACTACTACTACTACTACTACTACTACTACTACTACTACTGTTACACCTACTACTATTGCTGCTACTGCTACTGCTACTGCTTCTACTACTACTGCTGCTGCTACTACTACTACTACTATTACTACTACTACTACTTTACTACTACTACTACTACTACTTTACTACTACTACTACTACTACTACTACTACTACTACTACCACCACCACCACCACTACTACTTCAACTGCTACTGCTACTGCTTACTGAGAAGGAAAGTCGCAGTGAACGTACTTGTGTGGTGCTCGCATTATTGCGAGTAGATGCACAATTTGAATATGTGTGTATATGTACACATACATGCTTACATATACGTCTATGTATACGTGTACGTGCACGCAAACTACGGACGCATGCAGACATACATGCATGCATACAGACATACAGACCTCTGGATATACGAAAGTATTACTCCTTACAGGATTTGGGTTTGGGGAGCTTCAGGCTTCTGTTCTGCTTGTCGGAGGGTGTGAGGGTGGTTGAGGATTTGAGGTTTCATAAGTTGCAAAAGTATTCTGGAATCTGTCCTTGAACCTGTGACCCAGTGCCCTTCAAGCCCATCCTGAGCCTCCGAGGACGCTCTTTTGTTTTGCATGGTCGCCTCGACGCAAAGACGACGAGGGTACATTGCAGGAGGCCGCTGGAGAGAGATCGGGGTGTTGGCAAACCCTTCTTGGATGACATGTAGGAGCCACAGTTACTCTAGTGTGCTCGTAGCATCATCAGTTTCATGTCTGCATCGTTGTCTCCATGCGCATCATCACGAGTGTGTGGCTTCTTTTGTGATCCTGTTCCTCAGAACGAACGGAACGAAATTGTCCATCTCTGGGCCCTTCGATACTGTATCAGCTAGAGTGGGTCCTTTGGCTTTTCGTCGTTCCCGACATGCAGAAACACAGAGGCCCCAAAACTGCGAAAGCATTGGTCCCGGATCCCAAAACCCTGATAGGTTCGCAGGCAGTACAAGAAATGCGACGGCCCGGCGCTGAGCTTCGCACCCACGCCTTCCGCCCATGCCAGTCTACATTTCGTGATTTGGAGTGCAGATTTTTAGATGCAAGCCCGGTTCAAAACCCATCTCACATGACTTGAATGTTTCTTGGTGAATCCAGCCTGACGTTGACAGCGAGGGGCCCTGTTCTTTTGTGTTCTTGGCTGAAAATCATCTATGACCATTGGTTAGGCATGGCTCTAGCGAGACCGAGACCTGAGCGAATCTGGAAGTGGCAGTCTAGGCGTTCTGGGGTCGGGATTCTCGGGTTGAGGGTTAAGATGCCGAGGTCACGTGTTCTTCACAGACACAGAAAGTCCGGCCGGGCAGGGCGAGGATGACTTCCTCCGTGTTCCGGTTCCGAGACAGGGGTTGATCCTTGCCTGCGCCATCGGAGTGTCCACATGTTGGAGCCTGAATGAAGCCATTGGAATCGGGCTTTTAAGGGAGTATACTTCTAGTACAATTGCACACGGACTCTGAAGGAATGCTTCTATACTTACTCAGACGCCCCTGGGGATGTAAAACACCTGCACTCGGACGAGCGCAAATTGGATTTGGAAGTAGATTTGCCACCGTCGGATCTTTCAGGTCTTACTGGCGTGATCTGGTCTGACGTAGTCTCACACTGGCTCTCATCGACGTTCCATTTCTACATGCGGATGTCTGGGACCAACGTGGAGGTGTTTTGAACATGTAACCACCTGGAGAAAGCAATCATGGGCGTTGGGGCACGTTCCATGCTGCAGTTCTGCAGACACTATGAACCAAGCAGGGTGACAATTCAAGCTACAGCTAGACCCGCGGCTTATCCAGAATTAACTCGATCAGAAGCTGCGACATTCGTGCAAAAGTAACTCAATGTTGCGAGGGTTTGTTTGCACAAACGAGCACAGCCGCGTTTCTGTAGATTCGTGTGTGTTTGTGCGTCTGTGATGCATTCGCCACAGCTGTTATTTACGCGTGTGGCGGTTGCTCAGCTAGTGTGAACAGCAGCACCCGTCTGATAGAGAACTTGTGCTCGTGTTCGTTACGGCTTCCCTTTCACACTCGCAGGATGAGGCCTTGGCCCATAGGGTAGATACTCGAACTGGCTGTAACCATACCATGAAGACAATGACGCTGCTGGCTGCTGGTGGTGGTGCTGCTGCCGCTGCTGCGGCAAAAACTTCGCCAGCTGATTATTAGGTGCGATGATGTTGAGATGATGCAGAGGATGATGATGATAGTTTGGTTTATGCTGATGACACGACCGTGTCTAGTTCAATGCGTTGTGCCCTCCGACCGCTCAACAATTGGAGCCTTTTGCTTCCGAGGAATCGAAGCCACGAAAAGTGGTGCGTGTCTTAGCGCGGTGATGACCTCCCTTTCTCATCTGTGTATCGTGGCTTCTCTGTGTCGTTGCACCAACCGCTTAGGGTTCTTGGTTTCTGGGTATCTTCGTCGCAATGCTCATTACAAGAATCGAGGAACGGTTTTCTGTCATTCAGAAGGGATCCTTGGCTGAGGCGGAAGCTGGGGCCAAGTGTTCGGGGTGCCTTGCGCAGGGTTATAGTGTGGGCTGTAAGACTGGTGGATTCAGGGAAAGCATCAAGATACAGGGAAGATGCTAGGCTTTCCTTGTTGATATTCCCGATCGACTTCAGTATCAGCGGAACACAGAGAAGCTGTGGAGATTGACCGTTAATTGGCTCCGAGGCCCGCTGAGAGTTCCCGAAAACACTCCAAGGGGTTTCTCAGGTTAACGAAGTCTTGCAGACAAGATTTGAACCCCTCAGCCCGCCGAGGCTTTACCACCGAAACATGGTGGGCCTCATCCCCGCCTGGAGTCACCTCCTCTCCTCCGGGATGGCGGAGAAGTATGCCGCCCGGCTTCGGTTTTGAAGTGCTGAGGAATGCCGGGATGCGGGTCCAGCGCCCCTGCTTCATGGAGGAATGTAGCGGTATTGATCCTGAATCCTGACGTTTGTGATGGCAGCTTCAGTTGAGGTGGCGGTCCAAGCGACAGTCTAATCGAACATGCTAATGCTACCCTACCAGAGTTAATACAGGACCTGTATGCCAGCCTTGTAGAAGAATCATGACAGGCTTGCCATCATCTCGCCCTTCGGGACTCCTCACGGAAATACCCTAAACCCTAAACCCTAAACCCTCGCAAAGGATTGGCTGATCAACTCCGAGTTGGACCACTTCCTCTCCCCGTCCCGAGCCAAGGCAAGGGCTCCCCGGCGCTTTTGAGGGCCGATTTGGGAGAAGAAAGGGGCCTTCACACATAGGACGGGGTTCTCGCAAGTTTGGGTCGGGCGGTCCTAGGGTTTCCTATGAGGGGATACTGCTGCTTGTTCGAGGTGCAAGACCCTAAACTTTGAGCGCTCAGCCAAGAGTTTATGACAACTCCCAAGCCTGAACTTAAACCATAAAGGAGCTACACGCAAGAGCACTCGGGGCCCTTGTTCCTTTGCCTGTCTGCTCTCCTTGCCAGCATCAGCTGAAGCAGTTTAGGGTAGTAGATGGTCGAAGCGGCGGCAGCAGTGGAGCGTGAAAAAGGACGTCACCAGTTTCCAAGGGGCCTTGGGCGTCTGTGAAGAGGCATTGAGAAGCAATACAGCTGAGATCGAGTGTTTTTCCTCGCTTAAGCTTGCTTGTCGTCGTCTTTTGAGCCTGCATTATGTCTGCTCCATCTGCGTCTTTGCAGGAGAACATCCTCGAGTATTTGCGGGTGATGGAGGCCACTCAGAGAGCAGCTGCATACCATATCCAAGTAGTATCCCATACTGCAGTTCTCAGAGTTCGAGCATAGTCATACTTTAGCGGCTGTGTTTGCCACGTTCTCCGGCCAAGCATGCGCGGCGCGAGCTTGGACTCGCCTTGATCAACATGGGGCCGAGGGACACACCTGCAGACTTGCTGAGCCCTACACCCAGCGAGCCCCACCCAATCCCGGACCTGTACATCCCAGCCGCCCCCGCCCTGAAAACCCTAAGACATCTCTAGGCTCCCGCAAAAACCGAAGCGTTCGGGAGCCAGGAAGGCTCGGATGATGATCGCTCGGGTCTGGAGGGGCCCATTATGCTCATGTCTCCCGGCCGGTCTTTTTTTTGGAAGTGCATACTGGAAAGGGTTACCGTGGGCGAAGGGGTTGCGCAGTTCAGAGTTAGTTCAGAGTTGAGGATTTGGGGATCTACTGTAGATTGCCAGTGTTGAGGTCGCAGCGCCCAAACCGCTGTTCCCCATAGCCAAGGTGGGGCAACGCTTTCGTCTTCAACAAAAGGTACGTCCAGGCCAGGGTTTGTTTGTGGGCTTGGGTCCATCTGCAGGTATGTAGACAAAGCATCGTAGTTTGCTTTGCACTGGGACTTAATCTTTCATGCCTCAATGGCAGGACTACAGTGTTCCCAGACCCCTGAATTCCTAACAAGAAACAGGAACTCTGCAAAACCCTGCAGGTGCTGAAGGCCAACTGGGCCAACCTTGGCCGCGTCGCGGATTCGGTCGAGGAGGGGGGGCGCGCCGTCGGGTGCCCCATGCCACTCGAACTCAGAAGCTGAACGTAAGGGTTTACGGTTTAGCATGCGGGGTTTAAGGTTTAAGGATCCAGGGCTTAAGAGTCTTGGGGGGTTGGGGGATTCCGGTCGAGTGGTGAGCTTGAAGGGCGCGCCTGGCGTTTTCGAACCACTTGCAGAAGCGCTACTTGCAGAAGCGCTTTTTTTTTTTTTCTGGGCGGGCAGGGCTTCGAAGTGCGGGGACTTCGTCAGGATGTCTTCGCTTGGAACCATAAGCCATAAGCGCCTTGGAGTACTAGGAAGTTTTTCCAGACGTAAGCCCAAGCTCAGCGGCCCAGCTTTGAGGTTCATGAAGGGCCGGGTGGAGTGGCCCGACTACTGCTCCCAGGACTTCCCCTGTTGTTCGAAGTCGGGTCTTCGACTCGGCTCCGATTGTCGGCGCATGTCGGCGCTTTGAGACGGATCCTAGACGCCCTAAACCCCGAACCCTCGGCCCCGAACCCTTAGCCCCAGAATCTCAACATGTCTGGATGTCTGAGCCTAAGCCCTTTGCTTCACGCAGCTCCTAAGGCGTCTCGGTTCGGCTTTCGGTATGGCTATTGACCCTGTCATTACCAGGCTCCACACCGTCCCTCAAGGTCAAAGGGCGTTCCTTGATGGGAAGTCTTGTCTATTGCGCAGGATGGGTAAGTGGAAGTATCAAATCCAGCCTTGCTCCGGAGCCCTTCCTCCCAAAGCCCCCTTGAAAGGACATGATCTATCCTGCCCTGGCTGAGCATGTCTTGTGCGGACCTCGGTTCCGCATTCACGTCATGAGCTCTTTACTTTGGAACCCAAACCCGGCGGCAGGCTCCTGGCCCCACGAAGCTTGAACACAGAGCTCACATGCATGAAAGCCGCCGTTGGTTTCAGTCAGCAGGCCTTTTCGTGTGAGTTCATGGCTTGGGATCTTTGGGTTCGAGCCTCAAAGCCCGCAATCCCGAGGCCACCACTGCAGCAGAAGGCGGGCGGAGGGCATTTGTAGGACTCCTGGCTCTGAGGATTCGAGCATCGGTCTCCTTGGGGGACTAGAGGCTCAGCTTCGAACTCATCGCCCGAAAGCCACCCTATTCTATTTCAGGTCGAAATGAGAAAGATCCGACCATCGGCCCCGACCTAGGCTAAGAAAACGCTCCACCTGCCCTGAAAGCTCGAAGCCCCAACGAAGGTGGCCTTTCCCGGGGCTTCCGGCTGCGGCCAGCTTGCGAAGAATCGACGCGGGCAGGCGCAGTTAGAGCAGGCTGTTGGGTTCTTGTTCTTTATTCTGAGATGTAGGGTTCAGTTTTTTTGGGGTTTCTAGCATTCCAGGGTTTCGGATTCATCGGATGTGTTGATGGGGCGAGTGCTGAAGTTTTGGATGGAAGGGCTTCGGGTAGAGTGTTCGGTGTTTGGGGTTTCATGTCTCGTCTTTCTGATAGCGGATGCTCAAGTCTGCATAAAATAGAGGTTGTCATTGCAGGGGTCCTGAAACTAAGGATCTTGTTGCGGGGGGGGGGGGGGTTCTTTATTTGCCCCCCCCTGGACCCTTACGCTCAGGAACTGTTAGGGTCTATTAGCATCAGTCTTTTTATGTAACAGTATTAGTACCATTAATCTCAATAACAAGTATTACTCTTACTATCACAGTTAATATTCTTATCATAACTACTAGTGCTACTGTGATTATTGTTAATCAGAATACTATCATTCTTCTTCTTCTTCTTACTATTATATGATGATTATTATTATTATGATTGTTATTATTAGAATTATTGCAACTGTCTCTGTAGGTTTCGAGGCTTTGATCTGCCAGGCCTTTCCGCTGGGCTGTTGGGAGATGCAGCAGAACCCGCCCCTCGGCGAAAGTCCGAGTTGAGAGGCTAATTAGAGTGATGAGTGAGGGTCTAGGGACTTTTAGGGACTTTTCGGGACTTTTAGGGACTTTTAGGGACTTTTAGGGACTTTTAGGGACTTTTAGGGACTTTCAGGGACTTTTAGGGACTTTTAGGGACTTTTGAGGACTTTTAGGGACTTTTCGGGAGTTTAGGGTTTCAGGTTTAAGCATGAGGGTTTAGGACTCCGTGTGTCTTGTGTTTTCAAGCCCGAGATCCCAAAAGCGTCGCAGCCCAAGGATCAACGGGCAGCACGAGGAAGGAGAGCTGACGGCCCTTCAGGACTCCCCCAATGTCGGGGGCCTTTCCGGGGTTTTCGGGGATCCGGCTTTGGGCTTCGATCTTTGAGGGTTTTTCTGCGGCTTCTCTGGGGGGAACAGAGAGTAGCACTGCAGTGCCTGGAAAGAGCCTGAGTCCTCAGCCGATCTCAGCCGCAGACCCGAAAGGCTTCATGGATTGTTCTCTCCAAAATCTGGGGCCCTGATTCCGGTTTAGGGGTTTAGGGTTTAGGGTTTAGGGTTGTTGAGACCATAAGTTATAAGCTCAAGAACTGAACTTCGCGATTTGTCGGCAGGAGCTGGCTGCTATCGGCAGGCTGCAGGCCCGCGCTCCGGGATTCGAGGGTTCTTCTGCAGAGCATGAGGCCGAAAGAAGGGCTCGCAGAGTCTTGAGAATGTCCAGGCTATGGGCCGAATCAGCCTCGAAGATCTTACATAGGGTTTAGGGTTTAGGGTTTAGGGAGGCATAGGAGAATCTTCTCAGATGGTACTGCGGAGACCAAGCCGGATGGAATTTCGACCGATCTCGAAGCCCTCCCCTGAACGACGAAAGGATGAGACAATCGGTGTAAGCAAGCCGGAGATGCTAGAGCCAAGGCCCAAGATCCCACGAGGCCCATGCCCTGGCCCCTTGAAGAATGCGTAGGACGCTTAACAAAGCGCTGACATCACTGGATACATCTCCACCCTTCCGGAAACAAGCTAAAGGCCTCCACCCTCAACCCTAAAGCCTCGAGCGGCACGGAAGGACAGCGAAGCGGCCGGCGCCTACTGCCGCTTCGTTGCAAGTCTCGGCTCTCGGATGGGTGGAGCTAGGATCCCCGTTTGGGCTCAGGGCTTTGGAGCTTAGGGCTGAGGCTCAGGGTCTGCAGTGTCTTCGGTTTAGGGCTTCGGGTCCAGGAGTCGAGGAAGTCCACTGGCACTTACTAAGGCAGCCGGTCTCCGATCGAAGCCGTGCAGAAGAACTGCATGAAGTTCTGGGATGGGAGGCCACCGCTGCCCGGGCTCGATGGCATTTGCAGTGGCATGGGCATGGCATGCGTTCCGATGTGGCTCTTCTTCGCAACACTGGCATTGCTCGCGCGTGTGCGTGTGTAGTGGCCATCAGCTCGCTAACAATAGTCTTGACATCTTGACTCTCCTCATCCAGACTCTTCTACATGTGTTCTTGCTGCCGCTCCGAAGATTCTCGAAGCCCTGCATGATTTCAGGAAACTGAAGCCCACAGATTCGGAAGCTTCTGCAGCGTGCGATATCTGAAGAAGAATCCGGCAGTCCTCTGCTTTTCAATGCGATACACCTTCACCCCAAGTGCACCATGCTCCGGGTGCTGGTGCTTGTCATCCTAAACCCCAAGCTGCTCCGAGCTCCGCGCCTCCAGTCCCGAAGGCCAAACTCGAAGCCTCAAGCAAACCCGAAAGTCTTAAAAAGCCAAAACCCCAAGCCCCCAAAACCCATCAAAACCCATCAAAACCCCATCAAAACCCCATCAAAACCCCATCAAAACCCCATCAAAACGCATCAAAACCCCATCAAAAAATTCATCAAAAACCCTATAAAATCCTAACTCCTAGAACCCCCAGCCTCTCCACCTCGGCGGTCCCCAACTCTCCAACGCTTCCGCAGAGGAAGGTTCCTGTCATCCACCACCTCCATACCGCGCCGGGGAGCCCAGGGTCCCCAGGCTCTCGTTCTTTGAGGAAATTTCTGGGCGCTTTTTGCATGTTTTTTGGGTTGTGAGGGGCGGTTGGCGGTTGGGGGGGGGGGGAGGTGGAGGGAGGGGGTTTCAGGCTTTTGGGTTATGCGGCCTTGGCGGGGTGTTTGTCGAGAGCTTTGGCCTTTGTCGCTTTCAGGTTTTTCGGGTTGTGGGGGCTTTGGAGTTCCGAGTCGCGGACCTAAAGCGCATGACTCCGAGGAGTTTTGGTACAGGCTTTGTGGTATCGCATTACAGGGCTGCTGTATGAAGATGAACTTGTTTAGCGTGAAGAAGTGTCGTTGGAATCCAAACCCCAGCATCCTTACCAAACCCATCTACGCAAAGCAAAGTCGTGCTTTTCGTTGGTTTACAGGTGTTCAGCTTCAGGCGCGAAGGAGGACGTGAACCAACTGTAGTGTTTTTGGCAGGGTACTATACCGTTGCGGTTCTTTTTCAGGGTTCCTACAAGGGTGAGGCACATAGGGCGCCGTGTTGCTCTGCATTTTCAAAGTGTCGCAAACCGAGTTTGTTCGGTTTTCAGAAGGAGCGGGGTTGTAGTGCCTTCAGGAAACTATTGTTAGTTATACAAGATTTCAGTCAGCTGTGTTTTTCGTTTTGAAAGGTCATCATCATCATCATCAGCAGTACATACCGATGTTGGGAAAGCTCGCACCGTTTGTGACAGTGCGTCTTGTGCCAGAAATGTAAAATTACACAACATCCTTGTGCAGTATGTCGAATGAAGTGGCGAAAACTGTGGTCAGGATTAGTTGGGGCACTGTCGCCGTTGGCACCAACCTTAGTATCCTCCCCACCTACCCCCAACCCCTCACCCCCTGGAACCATCCCAAATGTCTTGAACGTGCAAGAACACCCAGGAAAATAACACGGCGCCAGCACCTACTACCTACTACAAGCGTTACTATCGGGTGTTTGTGAAGTTTCACTCCACATGCCGATGTGCCCTGAGCACCAACACCCAGGAGGGAGCAATTGCTTGCCCGCACTCTGCTGGACAACGACCCTGGCCCCTGACGGGCTTCCGTTTCCCAGCAGTCTCAAATCGGCGACAGAATAGGGTCAGGGTTTTCGATGCTTGTCCGCAAAGCTTGCAAGACTTCAGGGAAACGCTGGGGATGCGGTGGTTTCGTGAAGGAGCGCAGTGTGCAAAAGAACAGAGATGTTCTCTCTACCGTCGGCACATGCACCTACTGGATCCCAGGGCGCCTGCACATCTGTGTACGAACATGTTCGCGTAAGAAAAACCCAGTAAGGAGCACTGACATCGAGGTGTGTGGATATCCACAGGCCTGCTGCAGCAATTTGGGCTCAGCAATTGCATGCGCACATGGAGCAGACAGATTCCGTATCAGAAGATAAGAGCTTCCATACTCCAGCACAGTGCCAATGACCAGAGTCTGTAGACAACTTTCTCGGCGAAGCAGAGGAGTGCGTGCTGAGGGGCATTGCACGGATCCTGACTTCGCGCCGTACACCCAAAATGCTGGTCGAGGTGGGCATGCCCAAATTTGACAAATAAATTCCCGGAGTCGTCACGTTGTCTTTGAAAGGTGGCACCCTAGCCTGGAACAGACATTGCACGCTAACAAAAGGGGCTGTCCGGCCATTGCCTTCAACTGCCAGAGCTTGAGCTGTATAACTTCGGTCGGAAGTCCGAAATGCAAAAGCCCCCACCCCCACCCTGAACCTTAAGCCTTAACCCTGTAACGAATTTCAGCAAGCTCTCAGTACTGTGCACAAGGTTTGTGTGGATTCGTTCAGGTTGTAGCGCTTTTTGGAGTTTTTTCAGGGTTCAGGTCCTCGGGATCAAGATTAGAAATCGCGGCACAGGAGGCCCAGCCACGCCTACCGAACGGCCCGACGCTCTGTGGCGACATGACGCCCGGCTGATAAAGATAGGACTCCCGTAGAGGAACAGAGCCGCGGGTGGAAGTGGGACCCCAAAGACTGCCAGTAGCTCCCCGGGGGCCCCTGTGAGGTCGAAGACAGCCCTTGCCTCAACTGTTCTCTGCTGGCTTCACTGGGTGTTCGTGGCTTGTAGATACAGGTTTTGAAGATGACATTGGGTGTCCATATCCACCCTTTTGAATTAAGGGGTGTGTCTTAAGGGTCTAGGGTGGGATAGCAATTAGGGAAGTATTGTCACAAGCAAGCCGAAGGTCTTGGGCAAGCGAAGGGTCGTTGGAGTTTTTACCCACGGCATGTACACACCATTTAATTCATGTAAAGATGTTCAGGTTAGCAAGACATATTAATACGTTTCACTGTGCCCTTAAACCCAAAACCCACAACGCCAAGTCCTTAACCCCGAACCCGGGACCTCAGACCTCAAAACCGTAGATCCCAAACTCAAACACCGAATCCCTAAACATCATATTGCTCTCCTCCCACCAGATCGTGAATACAAGGAACTAGGCTCGAAAACACGACAGCTCCTAGACCAAAACCACACAAGCCTAAACCTTGGACTCGGAACCCTGAACCCAAACTTTTCATTAACATCTCCGAACACATAAACCTTAACTCCACTTTAGGCCAGTAGGATAAGCTCACAGGGACAAGCTCACACTAGCAGTATCGGCATTCTATACTGAGCATGGAGGCCAACATCCTGCAGGATCTACAGGCCCCATCTGCAATCTGCCCAGCACCACTTCGAATCAGAAGAAGATGGAGGCCAACCCTCTGAACTCCACGCCGGAGACCGTAGATTTTCAACCGCGCCTAAGTCCTAAACATTCGCATGTCCTACACCGCAAGAGAGGCGCCCGAAGTCTCGGGACCCCTGTGCTTCAGGGGTTAAGGCCTGCCTGCGGTTTGAGTTGTCGCAGCTCGGGCTGCCTCCAAAACCCGAGCTCCGAATCCTAAGCTCCAAAGGCAAGGTTTAAGGATTGAGGGTTTCGGAGTTTAGGGTTTAGGGTTTGGGATTGCGGATCTAGGATTATAGGTTGAAGGTCGGGTCTGTAGCCCCTACATGAGCCAGGTCAGTCATGACTGGCAACGGTGGTTCCCTTCTTATCTTTTCAAGCTCCGGGCCGAGCAGTGGTTGGCGGGGTTTCGGTTTCTTGATGCATCGTGGAGTCGTGGAGTTGAAAGCGTTTAGGGTTCATGGGCTTTGTGGTTCAGCATGTAGGCGATTTCCGGCTCGGGGGTTGGGGTTCCAGGGTTTTCAGAGAGCTTTCTCGTGGTGGGGCCGCTAGCTCAAGCTGCAAGAACTTAGCCCCGGTTTGCAGCCTCCTGGGATGCAACCTCCTACGCCGCAATCTCTGGATGCAAGACCGAACCCCGCGTCCTAAACAGTAAATCCGAAAAGCAGCCTCGGGAAAGAAACCTAAGCCCTGGACTCCGGAACCTTAGCAAGAGACCACAGGGCCCTCTTGTCTGAAAAGGTCCAGAAGCTATCCTAAACCCCGGCTGAAACCCCCAACCTTCTCAGAACCCTGCAGAACTCCATAACAAACCCTTAACGAAAGCCTTTTTCCCCTCTCTTAAGCCGCCAAAGGAACCGCATACAAACCCCATATGCAACCATTAGCGGAGCCCTATAAACCCCTCCAAAAATTTTCAGGAATGTCGAAAACCCAAAACCCAAAATCCGTAAGCCTTCATGATCAGACACCAGGGTTGCAAAAACCCTGAACCCCTAAATCCTAAACCTTGAAACCCCGATGTTTAGCAAACACCCCAGGAATGCCGAGCTGCTCTCTGGAGTGGTCCGGGGCCAAAAGAGCCTACCTCGGCTTAGGGAGCGCACCCCCTTGCGCTTCGAGATGATTTGGGCTTAGGGTTTGGGATGTTTGGGAGTTTTACGGCGGGTTGAGGGTTTACCTAGTGCCCAGGTTTTGTGGCGCGAAATCTTCGTTGAGTAAAACGACCTTCTGCCCAAAGGTCGAAAATCGGTACCAGATGGCAAAATATCACGCCTTGAATTCCACAAATAGCATTGCCCAAGCCACTTGTGCCCAGGCGATTGATTAACCAAACGAGCCCGGGTACGTGCCTCGTGAGCCGCCAAACAGCTCCCGGTGTTGAGGTGGGCGGGCCCTTGGTGGTGGGTCTACTCACACCACAGCGGAATGCATGGCCCCTGGAAGTGTCTGGGGTGCCGGGGCTTCAGCAATATCCGAATACCCAGCCCGGTTTTATCTTCAGTATGTCATGAGAGCTTCCAACTCCTGGGGCAGGCTAACCTTCCTGCAGTTTCCGCACAAGCGAACCCTGGTCTCTACAGTGTGAAGCCCCTCCTCCCCTCAGCGCCTCAGTCCCTGAGCCTTGTAGAGGCCTAGCTGAGTTCCGGAGCCTTCTGCCTTCTGAGCCCCTGTTTATGGAGGCCATGACGCTGGCTGCCAAGGCCTGGTCTTTGGGAAGTGATGCCGAGAGGTTAGGTCGGCGGTAGCGGTAGGCGGTAGGCTTCGAGAGGCGGGCCGAGGTGGGCGCCGTAGTATGGCGGTCCGTTAGGCGCTTGGGGCTTTGGGTCGATTGCGGGACTTGTTTTCGTCGTCGTCCTGTTACACTCCTGCAGTGCTTGCAGTCATTCCGAAGTCACAGCATCACGACGGCCATCGCTTCTTTTTTCTCTTTTTGTCACTTGTTGCAACCCTTTGGGCTTCCAGCAGTTGTGCTCTTCAGTTTCTATGAGCTTTGATTTATTTCTGTTTGCAGCTGCTGCAGCTGTGTTTTCTTCTTCTTCTTCCGCTTCATTGTCTTGCTTCACTGCTCTGACTGCTCTTACTGCCTCTGTTGCTTTGCTGCTATAAGTGTTCGTGCTGCCATGACGACGACGATTACTACTGCAGCCACCGGTACCACCACCACGAATAGTGTTGCTGCTGCTTCCGGTGCTGCTTCTTGCTGCTGCTGTTTGTTCTTCTGCTTGACTACTCCTTGTTCCTCTGCTGCTGCAGCCGTCGCTCCTGCTACTGGCAACGAATAGTACTGCCCACCAGCACAACGAAGATCTGCGGAATTGACGAGGGCGCCAGTGTGCTAGCAACGAGAAAGCATGGGCCACGAGGATGTCCACTCTTCCTTCTTCGGGCTCTATCGGCAGGCCGAGCGGGTTCGGATTATGGGCTTCGGGGCCGTTGGTTTTGCACACCTTTTGGTTTGTTCTTCGCCCTCAGCTCGAGTCCCAAAGCATTGGATCAGCAAGATGCCAGGGCCCAAAATCTTGCGGTAACTGCTCGGCACATCAGCCCCAACATGCCCAATACACATGAGCTTTTCATTAGCGTGTCGCGGTACAATCGTTGTACATCCACCCCCCCACAACAGACAACAAACCTGCATGAAGGCCTCTGAAACCCATAGACACCGACATCTTGAAATCCTGTTGCCTTCAGAACCGAGACATCGCAAAGCTTCAGAACTACAGAGCCTTCAACGCCCCAAGTCCCACCGGGCTGCAGCCCTCAGCGCTGAAGAACTCTCCGAGTGACGGTCCGTGTTTCAGCGTTTAGGGTTTAACAGTCAGGCTTGAGGGATCGGGGCTGCGGGTGTTTCAGTTCGCAAGGAGCTCGAGTATTCTTATAAGCCCAATCGAAAGTCCCGAAACTTTAACCCTCTGGCCCAAACCCTGAACCTTCGAAACATGCCGAAACCCTAAATGCCTAACCCACGAACGCAGCGGGAGACTTTACCTTGTAGTCAGATCGCCAGTTGATCCGTAGGGCTTAGATTTCACAGCGTGCGTTTAAACATTCTCAACCCTAAATCCAACCCCTTCAACTGCCCTTCAACCCGAAAGCCTTAACCCGAAAGCCTCGGCCATAAACCCGAAACCCTCGTCCCACAACCTTACAACCGACCAACCCGCGGTTGAAATGGGAGTTTCCGAAAATTAGGGGTACCGTATTTTGGGGCCCTTATAACAAGGATCCTATTTTTTGGGGCCCTTATAACAAGGATCCTATTTTTTCGGGTGCTAAATGAGGGTCCCCAATTGTCGGAAACTCCCAAATCTATAGCCCATAGTCCCTAAACCCTTAACCCTATACCCCTAAACCCTAAACCCGTTGAAATGTAAGCCCTGAACCACCCGCTGAGAGCAGGTGTTCCAGGCTGGACTTCTCAAAGCCTTCCGTGGAGGTTCCAGGCCGTTTTGTCAGGGGTTTGGAAGTCTGAAGGGTTTTTGGCTTTTGTCAGAAGAATTAGGGGTCTAGGGTTTAGGGTTCAGGGTTGAGGGTTTAGGGTTTAGGGTTTAGACACGCAGTAGTATGCCTGAGGATTCCGTGTTATAGCCATGGCAAGCAGACCTCGGACCCCTATTCTAACTCTTATGGCCCCTACATTAGAGGGTTTTGGTCAATCCAGAAATATCTATAGTTCAGGTTTCTGGGTATGAGTGGAGTTACGTTTTTTTTTAAAGGGTTTTGGAGCTCTGTAAATTCCCGAAAGCATCGCGAAGGGTTCTTCCGTGTGGAACGCCGCAGTTGAGTACATAGATGACAGACATAGAATCAACTTACTTGACTCCTTACTCTACACTCTACACTTGATACTTGACTCTACACTTGATACTTACTTACTTACTTGACCCCTATGACTGACTCTCTACACTTGACACTTGACTCTATGATACTTGACTCTACACTTGATACTTGACTCTATGTTATGCTTACGACTTACTTACTTACTTACTTACTTACTTCAATCTACTTACTAACTTACTTGACACTTGACAACTTACTTACTTCAATCTACTTACTAACTTACTTGACACTTGACACTGGACTCTATGTTATGCTATCTCTATACTTACTTACTTACTTACTTGACTTGCTTACTTATACTTACTATACTTACTATACTTACTACTTACTGACTTACTTACTGACTCTACTTACTTACTTATTACTTATGATTATACTTATGATTACTTACTTATGACTGTCTCTCTATGCATCTATGACTTACTATGACTTATGACTTACTCTCTACACTCTCTACATACTATCTACAAATCTCGGTATCTTAATATTTCTTTTTAAAGGCGGGGGTGGCACCGTCGGGGTCCATCGGGAATGCAACCCTTCACAGGGATTCGCCTCCTCGGGCGTTCAAACGCAGGTAAAGTTACACATTTTTCGCAACCCTTCCAGGGATTCGCCTCGGGCGTTCAAACGCTAGGTAAAGTGACACATTTTAGGCGCACCGCGCAACCCTTCCCAGGGATTCGCTGCCTCGGGCGTTCAAACGCTAGGTAAAGTGACACATTTTAGGCGCACCGCGCAACCCTTCCCAGGGATTGGAACTCTCGGGCGTTCAAACGCTAGGTAAAGTGACACATTTTAGGCGCACCGCGCAACCCTTCCCAGGGATTGGAACTCTCGGGCGTTCAAACGCGAGGTAAAGTTACACATTTTGCGGTTCCCGCGCAACCCTTCACAGGGATTCGCCTCCTCGGGCGTTCAAACGCGAGGTAAAGTTACACTTCTTGCGGGCGCCGCGCAACCCTTCACAGGGTTTGGGTGCAGTTCAATTTTTTTTGCAACCCTTCACAGGGATTTGCATTTTGCAACCCTTCACAGGGATTGGCGTGGTCGGGTGTTCGAACGCGAGGTAAAGTTGCATTTTTTGATTTGCATTGAAATGAATTTTGCAACCCTTCACAAGGATTGGCGTGGTGGAGTGTTCGAACGCGAGGTAAAGTTGCAATTTTTGATGAGCATTGAGATGAATTTTGCAACCCTTCACAAGGATTGGCGTGGTGGAGTGTTCGAACGCGAGGTAAAGTTGCAATTTTTGATGAGCATTGAGATGAATTTTGCAACCCCTCACAGGGATTGGCGTGGTCGAGTGGTTGAACGCGAGGTAAAGTTGCAATTTTTGATGAGCATTGAGATGAATTTTGCAACCCTTCACAGGGATTGGCGTAGTGGAGTGTTCAAACGCGAGGTAAAGTTGCAATTTTTGATGAGCATTGAAATGAATTTTGCAACCCCTCACAGGGATTGGCGTGGTCGAGTGGTCGAACGCAAGGTAAAGTTACACATTTTGCGGTGCCCCGCGCAATCCTTCATTGAGAGGGATTAGCTTCCTCGAATGTTCTAATCGGAAGGTGTGCAGGTACTGTTGCATGGTCTTTGGGCGCTGCGTGTAACCCTCTGCATGGATTGGCGTGGTCCAGGGTTGAAACGTGTGTGCAAACTACTACTTGTATCCTTTCCGCCGTGCAACTCTCCACAGGGAGTGGCGTGGTCGATTGCAGGAACTTGCATCTCTGCGAGGTGCAATTGGCAACCCTTCAGAGGGATTGGCAGATGCATATATCGATAATATACGCACATATATATATATATATATATGTGGTCGATTGCAGGAACTTGCATCTCTGCGAGGTGCAATTGGCAACCCTTCAGAGGGATTGGCAGATGCATATATCGATAATATACGCACATATATATATATATATATATATATATATGTGGTCGATTGCAGGAACTTGCATCTCTGCGAGGTGCAATTGGCAACCCTTCAGAGGGATTGGCAGATGCATATATCGATAATATACGCACATATATATATATATATATATATATGTGGTCGATTGCAGGAACTTGCATCTCTGCGAGGTGCAATTGGCAACCCTTCAGAGGGATTGGCAGATGCATATATCGATAATATACGCACATATATATATATATATATCTTTGTATCTATCCATATATAGATAGATAGATAGATAGATAATAGATATATAGATAGATAGATAGATAGACATATATTCATGCGCCTGTACGGCGCGTACGCTGTCTTGCGGGCGACTGGGTGGCGCGGCCCTTGACTCCACGGTGAGCCGTGCGGGCTGTGAATTCTTTGCTCTGGCTAGCTTCCACCGTTGCTTGCTTGCTTCGACGCTGTCTTGCGAAAGAGCAAGCAAGCAACAACGACGCCGCCACGAGAAGAAAATCGCTTGTTTGTTGTTTCTTCTGCTCGTGGCAGAATGACGCTGTCTTGCGAAAGTTCGACTGCGTGGGCGGGGCAACCCGGTTGCCCAGGTTGCCTGCACTGCCCGGTCGCTTTGGATTCGTCGAGGCTGGGAAGGTCGGTCTAACAGAAACCTGTTCACTGTTCATTTCCTGAGATCCCGACTGCGGACTGCTGGGCTTGGTTGGTTTGATTTCAGAATTTCCGTTGTGGGGCTGGAAGGTGTTCGGGGTTCTCTTCAACCCGGTGTCCCGATTTAGGTTCGTTGCCTGCTGCTACTGTTTGGATCCTTGGATGATTCGTTCTTCCTCTTGAGAAAGTTCCATTGAGATGGCACACTTTGCAACGAGCTTAGTTAGCACTACTCCCAATGCGCGGCTTGTCTTGGTGGGACGGTGCCTGCGGCCTGTGCAAGCAACCTGCGAGTCCACTGTGCCCTGCAGTCATCTGGCGCCAA